CTTCACTAGGGTACGGCCACTCGCCTGCTTTTACATTCGCTTGGACAGTGCGTTGGAGACCTGAATTCCTGCTCTTTCTCCCCAGACTCCTCTTGCTCTGTTTGGTCCTGGGAGATGCTCCGGGAGCCGGGATGGCTCTGGCTGCAGGGGGGGCAGAGGATCAGGCTGGGTTAAAACGGGGAAGTGGTTAAAACAGGGGGAACCTTCGGTCCCTCTGGACTAGGAGATGTATCTGAGCAGCTCCCCAGAGACACGCAGAGGTCTCCGAGCTGCAGACTAGAGTCTCTCCCTACGATGCTGCAAGTCAAACCCCTCCCAGGTTAAATCTGACGGCAGTGCAAGAGAGAGGGGGAAAAGCAACCCACAAACACAGGGGAAGAGGAAGAATCATCTCAGGCTGTGGGGTGTAATGAAGTCTTGGAGTCAGGGATCAGGCATGCAACTGGACAGAAGATGTCCCGCATCCTCAGAGCACGGCTCTGGATCACGTCACGGCCGCTGATGGAGGCAGGCTCCAGCCACTGCCGCTATGGTATCTGCACCTGGATTTAGGAACTATCTTGGGGTCAGTTATGCAGGCTGAGCCGCGGTGGGAGGACAGCCTTCTGGTCTCCAGATGGGCTACGAGCTTCCCAGCAGAGATGCAGCAACATCCATTGCACCCGCTCGCCATCAACCGCTGCTGCTAGTGCTCCGCAGCACGCTCGGGCTGCAGCCTCCAGCTCGGCAACTGGGATCCCCCAGTTAACAAACTGGGCAGCCCAGCAGGTCCAACGGAGACAGCCTGGCTCACCCGAGGAGCCGCTCGTGTCCGGAGGCAGCGCTGGGGGAAGGAGAGGCAGGAGACGGAGCGGGGCTGGGCTGCGCTGGTTCCCAACGTCTGCTCCCTGTAAGCCGTCCAAGGGCGGCCGGCGGGAGCATGAGAAAGGGCTCCTCGCTGGTATTTCCTGCTCGCTGTGCGATCCGCCGGCGTTGCCAGCAATGGTGGGGCTGGGACCTGGTCACACCAGATAGCAACGCGCTGCAAAGCGAGGCCGGGGGTTTTGCACTCTCCAGTGACCCCCCTCACCTCCGAAGTTAACCCCAGCTCACGGCATCGCATGTGAGACACCCTTATCCCAAGACCCTCAGTGTTTACTCCCACCTCTTCACAAGACCTCTGTCTTTCTGTCTCAAAGGCAGTTTCCACTTTTTTTCCCTTTAAAATACGAGGCTGCTGATACGCGGACACCTTAGACCCTAATGAGTAACAGATCAGCAGAGTTATGCTTCTGGATGCAAACAGCCACCCCCACAATAACAATCCCTGCATTAGTCAAGATCCCTGATGGTAATCTTAATGTTGTTGTCTATCCAGTATTTAGTGGGAGACAGAGTACAAAAACTAAAGCCTCACACAGCTGGCAGTAATTCATACGGGGAAAAATGCTCCCAGTTGCTTATTTATGATAGCTGCAACCCCTCAGAGTCCACGAGGCTCATTCAGCCCGAACTCGGTGTCGGGATCTATCTTAAACAACAGAGAGCAACAAGAAGAGATGCACCAGAAGAAACCTTCTGCTTCTGCAGGCTTTCACCCCTTTAAGTCAAGATCCCCAAGATCTGACTTCAAAAGCAAAGCCTCAGCCCTGAACCCCTCATCCCTCCAGCAGCACCCCTCAGAGCCCCCTGTCCCTCGCCTCCACGGGTCCGCTGCCTCGCCTGCCCTGGCCAGGCTCCATCCTGGAGCACACGGTCAGGGTCCATCCCTCCGGGTCTGCCCAGGTCTGCTCTTGGCACATGCACCTGGAGACCCTCCAGACGTTGGGATCAAGCCCTTCCAGAGCTCCACCACCTGCCCAAGAGGTCCTGGTGCCTTTACTCCTTTAAGCTAGCTTCTTAGCTACCTAAGAGAGCCTTTTCCTTTTACCCTTCCAGCACAGGTTTTTGGGTACAAAGGTGGCCCTCACCCCTTTTCTTCCCAGCATCACTCTGCAGGTTGCAGCCCTGCTCAGCACCATGCAGGATGCCTCTAACAGTTATTCTCTCACCAGAGCTACAGTACTTCGTTAGAGGCTTTTACTGTGCTTCCATGACATACAAATGCCTTTGGGCTACAGGAGAGACACTTCCCTAGCAGGAATCTGCTCTGCCTTTACACAGCTATAAATTAGGTCTCCAGAGCACGATATTTTTTAGGGAAATGAGGCCCATTACCCTGCCTCTGTTACTTAAAAGATGCAACAGTTTGCACTAGAGGATAACGCGCCAGCTATGTTGTGAGTGAGTACTTAGGCAAAAGGAATTAGCAATGCAGGATTTAGCCCAAAACTGCTCCCAAAACAGAGGTGGGACTGGTGCAAGGACAAGGACAAGGCTCCTGGCCGGCAAAGTGGATGGGCATAAGCAGCGAGCTGGGATGGATGCAATGGAAGAAGACGTTTCGTTGACAGATCAGGTGGATATCACATGTGAAACTCAAGAGCTGCCCAAAGCCAAAGCTTAGCGAGATCCAACTTCTCACTTTCAGGTCTAGGACAACACTAGGACATCTCCAAACCTGCCAGGAGACACTGTGAATTTTTAGGTTTATGACAAGAGAGAGCTTTATTTGGGGACCAGGGGAGTTATTCCAGCTTTCCCAGCATGGGGATTATACCCCAAACACCTCCTGACTGCCGACGCCCTGGCTTTCTGCCCTTCTCCGAAGCTCTCCTTGTGCAGTGCCAGCGTTAGAAGATCAGCCAGTGCCGCCTGAGTGCACTTGGAGAGTCACGGAGATCCCATCTGTCACACTTTTAAATAATTGGCTGATCGTTATGAATTCATTTGGTATTCATTGTGATAATGTTAATCAAGATGAATTAATAGAGTCCTCATACTGTACGCGCTCCCTGGGGAATTCCACCACCATTTAGAAACTAATTAATGGACCTATAATTTTAGCGGTGCTGCCCATGCAATCACCGTTGATGGTAGGCATGGAGCAGGTACCCGATCGCAGGATGTCAGCACAGGCTAGAGTTAAAGTGTTACCGCCAATGTTCCCTTCTCTGCCAGCACTGGCTGAGATGTTCTAGGGGTCCAAAGGGAAAGCGGGTCTCCAGCTGCCAGCGCAAGGCTCCAGAGGCAATGCCAGGGCCATGGGATGCTCCGCATCTACCTACACCTGCATTTCTCCCCTTGAGAAGCAAATGCTGCTGCTGCACACACACAAGACTTCTTGGCTTCTCTTTAGTCACCTGAGTCTCCCAGGACTGGAAATGAGACCTTCCTCCCTCCATCTCCTCCCGCCACACATCTCCTGCAGGATCCAGCACGCTCCACGGCTCTGCCCCTCTGCAAAGCAGCCAGGGCAACGCCAGCCCCTCGCACACCAAGCACCATGCCTGCATTGTACCACTCATCACTTTAGAGAAATTTTCTGAATGTCTCAGTCTCTCCATTTAAGATGAGGTTTTCTCACCAAGCTGGAAATGATGCAAACAGGACAAGACAGGAGACAAGGAAAGCACAGAGGACGAGGGGCTGGGAGACCCTGCCACTGCTCTAAGGAGCAGCTTTTCTCTGGCACAGAGAAACCCTCCATCAAACACGTATTGCTTTGGGGGAGTGGGCCACAAGCACCCCAAGCTCTGCCTGCTGGTGTTCCTTGAAGGTTCCAGCTGTGCATTGTTCTTCCATCCAAAGCAACACGTTATCACCTCTTCCACTCCCTCCAACCACGTGCTCTCCCCAAGGAGATTCCTGCCTGCAGAGCTGCTGCAACCCATCCTTACTTGGGTCAGAAAGCTTCATTTCCGAGCACCAAAGGGTTAAGGAGATTCCCTGGGTACCCTCGGACCCAGCTCACTGCAATCCCCCCACACCTCGAGCAGAGACAGCTTTGACTTTTGAAGTCTGTGTGCAGCGGGTCCTTAGGTAACCCCGCAACCGGAGCGTGGCAGGGGCTGCTCGGCGCAGCTCCGGCGCTGCCCTATCTCATCAACGCTCCAGACAGGACTAAGTGCTCTTCAAAGAGACCCGGGCACAGCAAGCAGAGCGACTGGGCCGAGGGATGGGTTTATCGGCCGGTCAGGGAGGTGAGGGTGGCTCCGAAGATGTAAGGGGAGAAGGCAGCAGAGAGCTGAGCAGCGGCACGGGGTCATTTTCCCATCGTGTCTGGTAAAAGCCTGTTCTGCCAGCAGTGTAAAACAGATGCAGTCAGCATTTAAAAAGAGCAGTTAAAAGAAGCACTGCCAGGGAGTTTTAGATCCTAAATTTACATTCCAGTAAGGGGAAGGATATCTTTTTACAAGACTGAATTTCTGTTCCCCTCCCAATGAGAAAAAAAAAAAAAAATCCATTATTGCTACTGCTAGGGAATGCTGCTGAGTGAGAGCAGCTGGTGACGAGGACGATGATTTCCTGAGTTTCCCTGCCCGTCCCGAGCGAGGTGTGCAATACAAACAGCACACAGCTGGGACACACACCGGAGCAGCTCACCTCCCCAGCACCACGGTGATTAGCAACCAGCAGATTAAACGCGATCTCTATCTTGCCAGTGTCCCCTTATCAGCTCCGGTTCTCCAGGATGCAACATCCCGTGTCACACGGAGAACGAAGGGCCAAGCCAGGTGGCAGCATTTGTCACCCAAAATGCACTCAGCCCTTTCGCAGCGCTGCTTGACGGGGCTCTGCAGGGAAAGGGAAGAGCTCGGTGCATTTGCCATGCACCGCGGTAGACGGTGCAAAACCAGGAGCGCAAGTTCCAGGGCAGCAAAGGACCTCGCGAGCACTGTCTGCCTTCTGTGCCCCCCTGCTCCCCAGTGCAACCATCCATCATCTGGGTACCGCCCTGGGACTTACCGCTGCTTTGGAGGCTGTGGCTGCGGCACAAAAGCAAAACATAAACAAGAGCCGTGCATTTTTGGCAGCCCTTGGCGAGGTTCACACTGATGCACATGGTGCTGCCGCGCTGCCAACAAGGAAAGGGACCTGCAGCACCCATGGGTGCTCAGGCCAGGCTCTGTCACCCTTACCTTCTCGCTTCATGCCCATGGCGAGACACTTCTGGTAGCGGCAGTACTGGCAGCGGTTGCGCTGGCGCTTGTCGATCAAGCAGTCCTTGTTGTCGCGGCAGGTGTAGGTGAGGTCTTTCCGCACCGTGCGCTTGAAGAAGCCTTTGCAGCCCTCGCAGCTGTAAACCCCGTAATGTTTACCTGCGGGGGGGGTGGGATGCGACTCGGGTCAAAAGGACTCACGAGGGTCCTGGGTGCCCCCAGCTCCCTGCTTTGCTCTCCCTCCCCACAAGCTCATCCCAGAGCCTCTCCCAGCTGTGTCTGGGGAAAGCAGAGGTTTCTCGGAGCTTTGCCTTGACTTCCACAAAATGAGGATGCCCTCCACGGGCTACAGCCTGCCTTATATCCAGGAAAAGCCCTTGCCACCTCTTAGCTGTACATCAGGGGAGAGGCAGCGCAGCAGTGAAACACGGGGTGCCCCCTGTACCCCATCCGGACCCCCCATACAGCTCAGCCTGCTCTGCCCCACACGCCCACCCTCCTCCTCCAGCCCCGGAGCCCGGCAGGCACAGGAGGTGTCCCCACGGACCTCACCAACTAGGCAATCAGAGCACTTACGGAGCTGAAAGCTTTTAAACCAAGGTGAGAATAAAGGGAATCAGCACATCTTTATCTCCCAGGAGCGAGGGAGTCCATGCGAAGCACATCTTTTTATCTGGCACATCTTTTTATCTGGTGCTATGTGACACAACCGCTAGGGATCAAAGGATGGGCAGAGAGAGGGACACGCGCTAATGCCCTGTCTGCCCTGTCTGCGCTGCTCAGGGCTGAGGATGCAACTTTTTTCCCTAACATAAAGGCTCAGAGCCTGCCCCAGACCAGACGGGCTGGGGGGGTGCTGCTCAATAAGGGACTTTCCATCCCTCCCTGCCAGGGCACGGGCAGCTCCTCTCCCGATGGAAAGTGCCCACCTGCGCTGGCGGTGCTGCGGGGACCCCGGGAGCTCTGCAAACCCTCCCCACGCTCTTGCAGGGCACCCACCCACAAGGGCAGCCCCCGCAAGCCGCCGTGAGCCCCTCCCGCGGCAGGCATCAGCCTTACCTGAAGATCTGTCCCCGCAGATGGCACATATGTGCTTGGTGAAGGAGGCCATGGTTCCTGAGGGATGTGCTGGCACTTTGAGGACTCCATTGAGCCCCAGGGGTGGTTTAATGTCTTCTGAGCTGCTGACGGGGTTCATGGGCGAGTTGAGCTGTGGAGACAGAAGAGAGGTGCTCAGCGGGGAGCTGGGGTGCGCAGGGCCGAGCCAGCACCGCAGGAGGACTCTGCACTCAGACACGGGGCAGTGGGGACACGCAGGGGACAAGCTTCCAGTGGGGACAAGTACCACTCAAAGCAACCACCCACAAAGCTGAACCAAGGGGAGGATTTGAGCGTGAGTCCAGAGACAAAGGCACAAGCGCTCATCTGCTGCCCTGGCATGAAAGCCAGCGTGGCTCTGAGCTGGCAGCAGGATGCCACCGGGTCTCGGGGCGGAAGGAGCGGGGACACAGCCGGTCCCCCACGCACCACCAGGAGCCACCCAGGGCTGGCACCACCTGCCCCACGAAGGATGCTCCTGTGTGATTCAAGGGGAAGGCGAGGTCCTCCTGCATCGCCAGACCCCTGCCCATGGCACAAGCCACCCCGGCTTCACGCCGCCTCGGGATGCGGAGCGGGGAAGGTGATCTGCAGCGATGGTTCGTGGGAGAGCTGCTGGCTGGGAGCGAGTGTTTGCACGGATGATGAAGGCCAGGACACTCGCGCTTTGGCTCTGTGATTTATAGATATCCCTTTAGCATTACCTCTCCAAAGGAAAGCTTCACAGCAAATAAATAGATTCCAGATGCAGCGGGGTCTGGCTTTGCAGAGCTGGCTTGAGTGGGACACTTCTCTACGACTTCCAGCCTTGCAGCAGCCTCTTCGCACACCTCTCCTTCCCTCTCCAGTGAGCCCAGTTCCCAACAGCCGGTGAAGAAACTGGAGAACTGGGTGGAAGCTGGGAACTGCTGGAGCTGGTGAAGGATTCCTGCGCGATTCCCACATCACCCTGTGCAGCTGAGCCGTTATCCCTCCACGTACAAAGAGAAACTGAGGCACGGAGATGTAAGGCCAGCCCATGTTGATAAGGGAGACGGGCTTGCAGCAACCCTGCCCAGCCCAGGGCAGGTCCCAGGGGGTCAGGGGCTGGAGGGGGGAGCCAGGCTCGGTCAGCTCGGGATGTGCTGCGGCTGGCCT